CAGATTCTTGAGCCAGAGAAAGAAGGAGAAAGTTGGCTGAGAGCTCAGTTATGTTTGGTTAAGTTTGCCAAAAAGCACTTGACTACATTACTGCAGTAGACGGTAATGCATGGTCTAATGAAACATAGGAATTAGACTTTACAAGTTTGCAATAGTTAATTTAGAGACTTTTGGTTTAATTATTTCCTTAATTTATCAGGTCCCCTGCAAACACTGTCAGATTTTATGCTTCTATTTCTGAGTTTGCAAAACATCAACTCCAGCCAGTAAAATTCCTGCCCCAATTGCTTCTTTTAACATTTTGACTATGGACTAGATCTTGATCCATCTTTTTTTTAAATTAGTATACTCTATTAAGAGCTATAATTTACAGCGGCAATGCCCCAATTATTAGGATAATTGTCACACCCTCAAGGTCCTCTCGTCTGTTGCACGTGTTGGAACGTAGCCGAGGTCAGTGTGAGATGAGATCATTTCACTCTATTCTTACTGTTTCTCTTGGGCTCTTCAGTCAGTCTATTGGGTTGTTATTATTATCTCTCTGTACTCATTCTATCTTTCTCTCACTGACAGACACATAGTTGTACATGGGCACATTGATCGTCTGAGGTGTTCTGCGGTGTTAAGTGGCCTGCTGGATCCACTAAACCATCACACATCAGAGGTTGCCTGGTGTTAGATTACTACATCCCTGCGTCTTAGAACACAAGGTGAAGGGGTTGAATAAGTGAAGCGCTCAGGCCCTGAGGAGCCCTGACACACACTATCATATAACACCTGCAGCACTACAGCTGCTATTGTACCAGTCCAAAAAGCCTTTGTGCTGTATGTATGAAGTTGAGATCTAAAGGTTGATGTAAACACATTTTGAGCTATTCATGTCACATAGACAGACAGAAGCAACGTATTCTATGTTTAAATATATAGTTTAAAATATAAATGAGCCCCAAAAGGAGAATAATATGTAAACATTTGTACAAAAATACAGTACATTTTGTGCACACAGTGACTTCTAGATAAAGCTTATGGTGTTTTAGAATATGTTAGTCACAGTGTTGAAGGCATGTCATGTTTTCATAATCTAAATAATATAATAATATATGGGCTTTCATCTCCCTCCCTTAAGCAGTATATTGTTCAGCTCCACTTTTTTTATTTAAATTGTGTGTGACAACTGTGTAATTTCACATAGATTATTGCAGGTCTGCAGTCTGTTTGGTCTGAATTGAGTGACACAATTTACATAAAAATAGAGCAGTCTATTTAGGCTGTAGTGTATAAACTTACTTGAAACAGACATACATTTCATGCTTCAAACTATTTTTTCTAAATATTTTAGATTAGAATATCTCAATAAGCACATTTATAACGGTTATGTCCCTTGAAGAATATGACAGCTGAGAAGAAATTAGTTACGCAGTGCTCCTGTGGGAACAGGTCCCTGAACCCACCTACCTTTGTTAAAGAGCTCATAGTGTAGAGGAGGAGGAAGATGACACGTGACAGGGGTCCCATGCTGAATTCAACCCCAGTGTATCACAAGTGTATAATGTGATGCACTCTTGTAAAGTTCTTGTCTGTGCATGCCCAGTTCATAATCATTATCTTCAAGCATATCAACATTAGACAGCCCTACATATCTTAAACATAATTATCCCATTCAAAGAATCTCTCAACCCCCATCGTTGAAAGAATATTACTCATCCACTGCAAGAGCTCTGTCTTCATTCTTCTTTCTCGAGCCTGTAGTCTGTAAATACATCAATGGTCTCCCTCAGTTTATTCGCTTGAGCAGCTGTATCGCGCAGACATAGATCAGTTTCCCTGAATCTTATGTAAGCAAAAGTATCAGTGCAGCTCACTTCAACTGTGTCGCTGACCCTTCACTTGTGCTTACGTTTGCTCGCTGCAGTGATGTTTGCAGGAGTTCCAGGTCAGCTAAGCTCTGCTGACACACTGGCTCGCCACAGATGACAAATAAGCTGATAAAGAGCTTTTCATGCATCCATGCAAAAACACACGCAAATGCATTAACACCTCACACACACACACACACACACACACACACACACACACACGTATTCATACTCATAAAATCCTTTTTTTGTTGTTGCATTTATCAAGCTTGAGTTAATGAATGCAACACACAGAGTGTATTTAGTGTCTTCTGAAGCAAAATTGGGTGCTGACTTTGGCTGGTGACATTATATCTGACATCTCACTTTTCACCTCTGTCTTATGCAAGAGAGGCTTGAGGGAATTCCCTGTGGGGCTCTGCCGGTTTGAGAGTGCTCTTTGGGGGTAAAGGTTGGCATGAAGGGAATGAAGGAGGAAGAGGTACAGGCTTCAAGATTGGAAAGAGGAGATGGAGTTTCTGTCTTCAGGCTGGGGTACACTTGGAAAATGTGTCAACCATGTCGGAAGGCAAAAGCGTTGATAGCTGTTCCATATGCTCGCACTCGAAGGTAAGGTGCAGTATAAGAGGGCAAGATGTGATCATGGTTTAAATATAAGTATAACAGCACACAGTCAGTTTTCAGTTTTCAACCAGTCTCTCATGGTAGGCATTCGTATTGTTGCACTCATTTGACCACATGAACTGTGATAGTAGTTGCATAAAAGTGGAGAAGAGGTGAGTGTTAATGTCTGATTGTTGAAGATGTTGGGGGGGATTATACTGGCCCGTTCATACTGTGAAAAAATACTGCAATAAGGAGGCCCATTGATTGCTTTTTATATATTTACTTACTACTTACTTTAATTGTATTATATTATTATATATTTGTTGTACATATCAGTAACTTACTTCAGATTGTTGCCTTAATGATATGAGGTGTAATATCCTTGTGGACGTTACGTAATATACAGATAATTTCTTACATTCACAGTAGGATTAACAGTGTTTCCACCAGGGTATAGGTGTTTGTGGAAGTTCACCAACATAGGATATTGGGTATCTTACTTGGGAGCAAGGGTGTAAAATGTTCCAAGGGATCTATGGAACGAAATGATTGCAAACTCTTAAGTGTTCTGTCTCAACTCCCCCTTCCTCTCTGGCTATATTTAAGCTGTTCTCGTTAAGAGCAAATGTGTCCTCTTATCCTTTGGCACAGGCTGTAATTTGCCTCTCTTTCGCTCCCTACTAAAAGGCTGCAGCCGTTTTAGCTTCTCTGAAGGTTATTTCCACCATCCCACCCTCCATTTTGCTAGAAGAAGATTTCTGGGTTGCTTCTTTTAATTTTTTCCACTTCAAACTTTCCCAGATGCTTTACCTTGTGCCCGGTGAGACCTGCCCTAGTTCCCAGCTCTTTTTTTGGCAGGACTTATTTTTGAAGACGGCACCCCATTAGGGAGAATAGGTGGGAAATAGGTTGAAAAAATCTCCTGACCTCTCATCTGCTTCATTTTATTATCTCCTACAAGTGCAGTTCCTGCTTGCATAATTAACTCTTGACAAGATTTGTTTGCTTTAGCCCTGCCACCTTCGTGTTCCTGACAGCACAAGGCAAATGGACATAGCGTTCATTGGGAGTTTGCGTTGACATTTGTTTTCACAGCGTAAGCCACTCTTTTTCCTGGCAGTGCCCTCCGTCTGCTGCCACAGTGTTCTCACCCAGTCTTTGTTCTCAGAGGAGAGGGCCAAATGCCCTTTGCTGCCTGACAGTCAAACAGCTTTACATCCATGGCCCCCTCTATTTCATCCTGTCTCTTCATTGTTCTTTCTGCCCTCCTTTTGTCTGATTCCTTTCTTGATCTCTGGGATTTACCGCTGGTAGTCATGATGGTGGGATGTGGGGTTATGCAACCCCCTGGGATTATTCCATGGGACAAATTGAGTCAGACAGGCTGAAGCTTGGAAGCTGAAGATACATTCTTATTGCCTGGGTTAGAGGAAAGGATACACTTAATTTTTCACGTTGGAAGGTGTTAAGTTGGGGATGTGTTCAATGGAGTGTCCAATGTAAGGATGCTTTAGTTGTTCCTCGTAAAGGATTTACCTAATTACTGCGTTTTAAGCCGATTACCTAACTACAACCTTTCAAGAGGTTCCTCCGTTGATGTGTTTTGACAGTGTCCCCTAGCGTGTGCATACCAAGACTGATGAGTGGCACCTGCGGCGGTGGCCTACTCTGGCCCAGGTCCCAGGACTCTCGGGATTCCCATAAAACACCCCCTGTCAGTAAGGCTCACTGGGTCTAGTTTCCTTTGGCACCAGAGAGTGACAGAAAGAGAGCAACAAATGATATGGGGATTCATGGAGGTGTGTGCGTGAGCTTTCTCACGCACACACATTCTGGTTCTTGCTAGTTACCCTGGAAAGATCTCATATAAAGCAAACCTGCTTAATTAATGCTGTTAATATGTCAATCTGCTGCCAATGCTCAACTCATCCGTAATGTTGGCCAACATCTCTAACTCCATACACTGAAATAACACAAGCTAGGCTGGGTGCCAAGTCGTTACGTTAACATTTCCAATCCAATTTTAAATGGGTATTATATTAGTGTGAATTCACTGAACCACTTACTCTGCTTTATGTTGCCGAGATCACAAAGTACACTCACTGCAAAAACATCCTTAACTATCATTGAGTCTTTTTTAAAAATAAAATAAGAAATAATTTCAACAGTGAAACTGTTTTACCAGAAGAATTTTCTAGAATAAACAATCATTTTATATCCAATTATCAGAGATGGACAAAGTACACAACTCTTAACTTGAGTCAAAGTATAGATACTCCTGGTCAAATACTATGAAAATTAAAATTGCTCAGTCAGTTTTTTTTTTAAGTATTGGAGTACTTGTTTCTAAAAACACTTACGTATTCAAAAGTACATTTATTTGCTTTATAATGTCAGCGGATTGTGGTTTTGTTATCAGAAGTTAGAGAAGATACTGAGTCTCACAGGACCCGGACTTAATACAACAACTTGGTGGGTAAATCCATGAAAATCCATAAAGAGTAAATTGACCATCCATAGAATAAAAACAGCAACTCATAAAATCACAGAAAACTGTTTAAAATGTTTATATGGAATTCAACAAACTCAAAATGTTTTCTCAGGTTTTTCATGAGCCGTGATGAAGTTTGTATGTGGAAAACAGAGCAAATATTTAAAACAATATGGATCTTTCTTCATTTGAAAAATCCCAAACATAGACCTCAGATAATGGCCACGGGTGTTCTGATGAGGAATCGTCACCTTTATCTGTAGCCATCATTACCACTGCCAAGTTCAAACTGACGACGTAGGAGCAGTTGACTGGTTTCTCTCCTGTGACACACAAACACAGCATATGGCCTATCACATTTCAGAAAAGAAAAACAGAAATTGATCTGCTGACTTAAAAGTAACACGTAATGGAAACCTTCAAAGAAATATAGTGGAGTCAAAAGTACAATATTTGTCTTTCAAATGTAATGGAATAAAAGTCAGAGTAAAAAAAAGTACAGATACACAAAAATCTACTTAAGTAAATGTTCTCGTATACAATTATACTGAGTGTCTGTGTGTAAGTACTGGATGTGTGTGCCCCTGCTGAGGTTACTGGATATGTGGGGTCTTGATCAGTATCAGGCAAATGATGTCATGTCCTCCACCATCACCGGTGACGCAATGATCTATAGCGTAGTAACGCACAGACGTATCTTCACTATCCCTCTCCCTCACCACCATTTACAATGTCATCATTCCCACACTGTCCCAACAGACTGCAGCAAAAACCTACCTTAGTCATTTACCCACTAAATGACCTCAACTACAGCCATTATCACATTACCGCAGGAGCCCAGTCGTCCGAGTCGTCACAGAATGTCATTAACACGTTTCCAATCACCTCCTCCACTTTCACACCAAAAAGGCTGCAGTAACTGACTGTGGCATGGCTGTGTGTCAGATTCAGCTGGGAATCATTTGTCCTTAACAGCCCATCTATCCACTGCTGAGAATTAACGCACATCCTCCGGTTGCACTCTGTAGCAATGCTGTATTTCAAGTTAAATCATTAAATTGCCACATTTACTGTACTTACTGAAGAGAGGCATGATGATTTTTAGGCAGACAGTATTATCTTTTTTATACTGGCCTTCAGAGACTCCTTACTTTTTCAAAGGTCTAAAAAGAGACAAAAAACTACAGTCAATTCATTGGAAATAATTTTTCTGTCATTTGGGAAAATGTAGGCCCAGTTAATGGAATTTAGGAAATGATGTGATATGAGTAAACACATTTCAAAGCTTATCCCATGTAATTGGTCAGACTTACATAGAGGTGCAATAACGTTTACATTGCAAAATGTAATAGTGGGAACCTAGCAAGAAGATATCTTTAAAATATACACATGGAAACATCACCTGCTTGATTTGTTTATTTTGTTTGTGTCCAGTTTGAAGTGTGTTTTCCATTATCTGCAAGGGATTTGTTTTGATTTGAGATGCTGATGCTGTAGTCTGACATGCAGAGGCAGTGAATTTCATATATGCCTACATAACCTTTAATTTATTTCATGTATGTCTTTTTTATTAACACCATTAGGGTTTAGGCAGATTCGTAATATTTATAAATGAGTTAAATGAAAATTAAAGTAAACTAACTAAGAGATTCTGTAGCATCCACTTTACAATAACTTTAAACATTCAGCTCGTCGGTGTTTTTGGGGGCTCTCCATCTCAGCTGCCTCTGTATCTTTATGTCTGTCTGGTATTTTTCCACTGAATTTGCTGAGGAAGATAAGGTGGTGGGTCCTTCATCACAAGGGCTCAGAAGGGTGTTTGTTTGTTTTTTTTTGGTGTGTGTTAAGTCACGTTCACCCTTCATTCTGCCTCCTTCCTTTTCGTCTTCCTTTACGCCATCACTCTGACCACTGCAGCACTGGCTGTACTTGGAAAATTCCACACTGCAGCAAAGAGAGGGGTGGCACAGAGAGAGAGAGAGAGAGAGAGAAAGAGAGAGAGAGTGAGGGGGCGCAGGTGGGATGCAGGAGAGAAGGGATGAGAATATGCTAGAGAGAAGTAATCGATGATGTGAGTTTTCAGTATGTTGCGGGAGGAGGACAACGTTCACACTTTGAATGATGCTAACAGGAACTATATTTTAAGATTTTACCTCTACAGCATACTATCAATACAAAGACATACAAAGACATATTGAGGACAGAGTCATAACTTAGAGGACATAAAAAAAAAAGATGTGATATTTGAAGGATGGAGAGCTGTATTCATCTAGAGGGAATGAGTGATGGAGGAATGGAGAGGTGAAGCTCATCAGACATAATAACCTCTGAAGAAACGTGCATCCATCATCACGTGCACTAAGAATAAGCAGAGAGGCACTGCAGTGCTACTGCTTAGAGCTGGCACCCACAAACACTCAACTCAGAGCTGCAGCTTTAATACACAGCCACACTTCCATACATATTCTGTGTTTAAAGGTCCAACATTTAGGAGTCTTTACTGGCAGAAATGGAATATAATATTCACAGTTTTGTTTTCATTAGTGTATAATCATCTACAGACACCATGGGTCACCTTCCATGGAGTCCGCCATGTTGAACCGCCATGTTTCTACAGCAGCCCAGAGCGGACAAAACAAACACTGGCTCTAGATAGTGACTTTAGTGTTTTTTGCAAGTTATACACCCACTGTGGTTCTTTCTACACACTTCACATCCCGTTCTCATTCCCAGGTCATCAAATACAGAAAATGATGCTAACACTGCTTGATGATGTATGGAGATGTATGCCTGTTACTTTCTGTTCAAACATAAAAGACAGTGGAAAGAAGTTGATATGACATCCAACAGTTACAGAGCACCATTATCATTCATTTGGAGTTATGTTTCTGTCCAGCTGACAAATATAACTACGATATTCACTTTTAGCCTTTAGCTCTGGTTTTGGTCTCTACCAACTCCTGAGGGAAATTTCTGGCTCTTCAGTTGCTAAATGCTCCATTATGTTCACTTGCGAGTCTCTAACTTTGTCAGTTTGGTGATGTGCAGGTGTACAGTGGGTTTTTAGAGACTGCTTCAAAAACAACCGATAAGATGAGAGCGGAGAGAGTGAACCAAAACAGTCGGACAGCTAAACAGTGAGCTGAAATTTGCTTTTGCATAAGGCTTTGGTTGACAAACTCAAACAGACTAGATACCAATGTCACATTGAAACACACTCAGGGCCAAGTGCCAGTAAACAGACGTCACAATGTTACAAATCAATCAGCCTCCCTTAGGGATCTGTTCCATATAGATTGATTGTAAACAACTAGTCTAGCGTGTTATTGATCAACCTCATACAGTTTGCAGATGGACTGACAAGTGATTGGAAAATCAGGGTAGTTTGTGACACGTGAATCGGAGACGGGTGTGCTACTAGCACTCATTCAACCCACATTTGTAGACACTTCTATTTATAATGAGGCTAAGTCTTAAGTGCCACTTATTCCAGTTTATAGCAGTGCTGTTTTAGGCCTGATTTCATTGGCCAAGAGTGACTTGTGCTGCAGGGAAGTTCAGCTTTTTGAGTCAGCACTTTTAAGGTTTGTTCAGGGAAATTAATGAACTTTTTTGTGATGCTACTGCAGGTACAGAACAGCATCTATGACTCAGACACACACTGAAAATATGAAGTAGGGCATCTGCAGGTTTATGATCTCAAGCTACAGTGCACTGCATTTTCAGGTTTATTAACATTTTCAGTTTGAGACATCATGTTGGAGTGTAAACCACCTTTAGATACACTTTCAGGTACAAAAAAAAAAAAACTCTTACAAGTTAAGAACTGAAACTCATGTTATACTAAATACATATGTGACCCTAAATGAGGGTGGAGATAAAAGATTTTGTAAGACATTCTTTAGACTGACAGCTGAAACCAGATACAAAATACTAGCTGTAATGAAGACTAGCTAAACTAGCTGCTGGAATCCAACCTTATTATTCCCACGTACATATGCAGCTGTATGTTCCTTGCATCATGGAAATACTGCCTAGCCTCTAGTTTACAGCTGTGAATTATTCAGCTCAGTTGTGCTCTGAAACTTAAACAGCCAAGCTCTTATTACAGTCAACCTTCACAAACCAATCTTAGTTTCTGCTTCAGTCTGTCCACCTTTTTAAGAGATGCTTAATCTGTCAAGAATGGGAAACATTTGCATAGATACTGATGTCACATTGTGTGTTTCCGCATGGCCTCTAATAAATGTTTGAAGTCTTGACTGGACGACACTTTGGGTCTCCGACATTCCTTCCTATTATAAGTTTAGAGAAGGCTAAGCAAAGCAGTGTGCAATGCGAGCTCACGTAGGCACTCGTGTTCTTAACTAGTTTACATTTACCCTGATGCCTCATAAACTGTGGGACCCTGATGTGGAACTAATAAACATGCAGCTCTGGATCACATTCACATGCTGAATCTCAATAGTAATTCTAAGCAATGTAATACCAGGAACCTTACTTGTGTTTTTGGATCATTAATGGTAGTGTCGGGAATACATGATAGCTCTTTATGCACTCCACTGTAACTCTTTTCTGTCAGCAGTCCTCTGAACACGAGACCTCTCTTCTCCTCCTAACTCACAGCAGAAAACTCTGGGATGCCATTTCCAAATAGATTGGTGATGTGAATGATACTGGCAGTGAGTCACTCAAAGTCAACAAAACCATCTGGACAGTGTATTAAGCAACTCATTAATACAACAACAGCAGTGGCTGCACATGGCGGCAGGTTTATGAACTGCAAGTTGGGAACAAAGCTCTCAACCCTGAGCTGTTGCATTGACCTGTCTCTCTGCTGCTGACGAACATCCATTTTCTCAGGACATAAAGTGAATGCAAGAGGACAGTCAATAGTAGACTAATCTAAAGTGCTTCTAACGGTGTGAGATATTGATAGTTCCTCACCATGATAGAACTAATTAGTAGTATTGAAGTACTGGCTGGCCGGGGCGCTAATTAAAAACAAATGAAACTGGTGTGGTGGTCAGTTTGGTTTGGTCTAAGCTGGCACCATAGTGACACTAAGAGATCCACATGGCACAGCAGCCTGTGTAAAGCTCAACATTTTGAGAGCTGGAGGTTTTCCAGGCCTCACCTGTATGCACAGATCAATGCTGCAGTATCTGTGTGGGAGTGGAGATGAGGAAGCTAACACAAAGTCCCATGCTGGAATACAGAGAAGTCTTCCATGGTTGCAGAGAGATTGTTGTATGGCCCAGTCAGTAACACAAAAGTCTCAAAACTTAATTTCTTGTAGTAGTAATCGTAGCAGTCGGACTCCACATTACCCATAAATCAAGCACCATTTTGGTGTGGTGCAGCAGGTTAATGTGGTTACTCCAAGTTGTACTTTGGAGGTTGTTTACATTCTAGCCTCATGACCTCTGTAATTCCTGGATACAACCCTAAGCATGCACAGCGCTGCATGTCACAATTGAATTTACTATGACTCAAGTACATTCCTGCTTATACTGTAGCCAGTTGGTTAATTTCTAGGAAGGCATGAGATAGGCAGTCAATCACAGTTAGTTAGTTATTTAGTTTCTTGTGGTTTTTGATGTAGTTATTTATTCCAAGCAGCAGGGTGGGTTTCATTCAGGTGGGGGTGAGGAAAGATGATGAGAGTCTTTCTGCATGTTTGGCAACATTTGTTCAGTTTCAGTATTTGTAAAACATAAATGGATGAATTTAAAGTTCACAAAACTATATTGTTACATACGTATCCTTTTGCATTTGCAAGTGGATTTTTCTTTCTGGGTGCACAGTGTATGCCTATTACACCACTGCATGTCTCCCTCATCTCTCTTACCAACAACTGCTTAATTCTCTTCTGGCTAATATAGAGGCCAAAAATGCACCTGCTAAATACTGAAGAAAATGCTGAGAAGTTCTGACATCTGAGACTTTACAGCCAAATGCAAAACAGCAGCATTTGTAATGTGGCAGCAAACTCACAAAATATGAACTAGATCCTTGAACTACTCTCCTTAATTTGATGGTCAGTATGAATTTGGTTGTGTGTTTTTGCAGGGCCACGACCTCTGAACAGCCTGTACTTCATGTCAATATAATGTCATGGGGTTTAGATACAGTCCAATTGGATTCACTGGACTGTTACATAATACAGTGCCAGCACACAGGACCTATATTCAGTCCTTCCACTCTCCCAAACACACACATCTGCCTCAATCCAGGCATGCACACACAGGTCTAGGCCACATACATACACACACACACACACACACACACACACACACACACACACACACACACACACACACACACGTATGCTCACACACCACTGATATGTGAGGGAATTCCAAAAGCCCTTACATCTGCAGACTGAAAACAAAAACACGCTCTCTATGTACAGCCAAGTGGGGAGGAGTCTTGAGTCTGACTTTTAACAGATGATGTTTATCCCACTTTTCCTGGAAAAGGAAAATTGGTGTACAACAAAGTGCACTTGACAGTGACCCACAGCACACTGTGAGGACATTCATGTCCATGACCTTTGCACCTAAAAAGGATCATACTTGCACTTTTCACCAGCCACCAGCAAATTCTGTGACAGAGCAAAAAAACAAACAAAACAAACAAAGCCAGCATTTTATCTGCTGGGACAAGCAGGTGTGGTCTTTGTCCCACATGCAAGACTAAACCCCCTGACTTAACTATTTCCACTTTTCCACTCTATTTAATCTTATACAGTGTCTTGAGGATTACAAAAACCTTCAAAGAGTATTAATCTCTCGGGGAGTTGAACTACACTGTAGAAATTGGGGAATAGGTCAGTGATAAATTCTGTGAATTGTAAAACACATTTTACAGCTCAGGTTTGGTTTGAAGGTTTCATGTAACCTGATGAACCTAGGTTTCATAGAAGTCCTTGAATGGTAAATGTCCCCCAGCTCTGTTTGTTTTGGGCAAAATTGTCAGCGTGCACGAGTCTGTGCTCAGACAGTATATATATTTTGTGTGCATGCATGAAAATCAAAATATTATGGTTCTAGATTTTGGCAGTCCTAGGCGCCACGTGATATCCTGTGTAACACGTGGAGAGTGGGAGGAATGGTTTTGTTTATATAAATCAGACTTTTTTCCCCCTCTCTCTGCATGTTTGGGTCATATGGAACTTGTTAATATACAGTGAACTGCAAGACCTGCACACACTCTCATAGGTAACAACTCACATCATGTCATTTTGACTTATTTATCCCATGCAAACCTCACCCAGTTTCACAGTAAATCCCACAGATTGCCTTCATGAGACTAGATTTGTGAGTTTTAGTTCAAAGCCGAAAGCAGCTGATATTTATGCCGCTGTGTTGCTGGCTATTAACTCCAGGTTTTGAGAAAGCCGCAGGGAAGATACTAGAGATAAAGCTGCTCATGTTTCACCCTGACTGAAAAAAACTGACATAGGCCATGAGGTTAGAAAGTTGTTTTCTTTTTCTCAACAGTCTCCACCCACTGAGGTTTTCAGGGATGTATGACTCTACTGTATGCTCTCTGTTAGCATTGGACTAGATCCAAATGTAAACTCACCACTAAGTTGCATCTTGTAAAAGCAAATTTATACCCATTACTTTGCTAATAAGCTGAATGAGTGCACTACAAAAAACACATTTTGTTTGTGTTTTGCTGATTTGTTCTGTACAAGGCCCATTAGGCTGGAAGCACATTCTGTGATTGAAGTGCTCAAATTTATCGTTTTTTGTGTGCATGTGTTCAAAAGATGGGAATTTTGAATTTACATCTTGCTTTGATTTATCCTTGTATCTGTATGTGTGTGCTTGTGCATCTGTTTCTCTCAGGAAACTATATAAGTGCTGCAGTACTGGGTGCTAGGTACAGAGAGAAGTGACAGAACAAGGATTTCTGTGGCAAAAAAGGAACTTTGTTGTTGATAGAAGGAAGAACAAGCTGTCTGTAGCAACACAGGCATGGACAGACTTTCTATCTTCCACTATAAAATCCACATTAAGCTTTCATTTATTTTAGTATTGGTTGTTTGAATTATTTAGAAAAACAGAAATTAGGAAAATGTGCATTCACATAAAGACAACTGCATTTTTAAGTAAATCAAATGTCATATCCTTCTTGTTTAAAAATGCTGGTAGCTATGTGCAGCAAATTCCTGAAACAACTATACCATACATGGAAAACAAGAGGAGAGCTTTAAAGATGGAAATTGTTTGCAATGAGCGTGTGATACATGTGAAAGGCTGCACTAGCTATAGATATGCTTGGTAATTTTCTGCCAGCACTGAATCATTCTGGTCCACTTGTCCGAGCATGACGCCTACTATCCTTTGACTTTTAGGGGATGTAGACGTGATGGTCAGCCAAATAAGATGTGGGGCAGGGCTGTGGGAGTCTGACGTCTAAGGCCAAGCACGAGGAACAGACTTGGTGCAGCAGCTTGGAAAGAACCCAAAGGCCACATGCAGACAGAACCTGGCCACCCAGATTCTGGGACGTAGAATCTGACCCAGTTCTGGGAGAAATCAGATCTCCGGGAGCCCATATCCTTGCACGGCATGCCACTTTTAGTTATCTACTGGAGGTCAGTAGTCAAGGATAAGGATGTGGGGGGGGGTAATTTGGCAGGGTTTATGTATATAAAAATGTGTCAGCAGAGCTACAACAGGCCACCGGACAGGAGCCGCAGGGGCTTTATATAACCTGAGGCAGACGTGTTATGTGTCCTGCTCATGATTAAAAAGTGATGACAGAGACGAAAACAAAGGCTGGACCGTCTGGCTTATGAGTAGGTGGCACATCACACGTTTAATATCAAATCCTTTTATTTATTTCTGGCAATGTAACCCCTACTGTCCTAAACCAGCCCGCATCCTGTCCTAACCTACCACAACCCAATAAAACCTTGAACATCTCTTCCCACGCTGCTAACATACATGCTGTCCTCTCGAGACTGTTCCCATGGTGACGTGCTAGTGCAGAACTAGCATCGATCTACTGGGTGCAGAAACTGGGCCACAACAGTGGGCAGCTAAACGTTTCATTATTTTCAGCACAAGGATGTGAGTGATGGCTCGTACAATAGACAGAAACATAAACGGTGACACTCCCAGTGATTTGTTTGCCCACACACTCACTCAATCATTTCTCCTTCAAAAATCCCCATGCCTCACGTTGCAGTGTGACATGTTTGTTTACAAACAGATATCCTAAGGGGCCCCCACCTTGAACAAGACCCACCCCCTGAAGACTTAAAAGAAGCAGTCGGCTTCCTTCTAAGTGGGTCCGGGCCTAACTGGTTGCTCACTGACAGGCTGAACATGTCAGGCTGATAGCATGGTATTATCTCCAACAACCTATGGAGGCTGCAGCGATTTTAAACACTATCATCTGGTGTCATGGCATCTTGTGACTGCGTGCAGTTATCTCTGTCACTTGTTAGGGTCTTTCCTGCCACTCATATGCACATGACATGAAGTAGATTCCTCAGCTCGTTTCTGCTGTATTGTTTTCAAGTGAACGTGACTTTGCTCGTGTTAGGTTACATATATATGCAAGTTGGTGTATAGGGATCATTCGAGCCAATAGCCATTCCCCTCTAGCCGTAGCCGCTGATCTTCAGGAATGCAGGAACGTGTCAATGCACTTTAAGAATCTGAAGTTAAACATGTGAGGTTGCTTATAGGTCCTCTCAAAAGCCATGGTTTGAGACGGTAAAGGAAACCTATTAAGTTGACCCGGCCTGTTACAAAAATGAAATTCATATTATTAGATATGCTGTAGATGGGCAGTTTTTGTTTCTACTCCCCCAGTCATTATCAGTCTGTGTAAAGGGACTATTTTTTCATTATTGAGCCTCTGCTTTTGATAAGCTTTCCCTGTGTAAACAATACATAATAGGTTAGTTTCTGACACTTCTATGGGCTGTAAGAGGGTTTATTGCCAAGCCACAGGTTTCGATATTTGCAACAGGAAGTGTTATTCAATGGATTATTTACTTACTGTATATTGCCCTGACTCACGTTTTATGACTGTATTTACTGTTCAGCCAATCCTCATGGCCATCCAAAAATCATTTATTCCAGTTTGTTGTTGACTGATGCAAAAATAACTGTTGATATATCAATTACTTGTAGAATTAATTGTCATTTTTTTTATTTAAGTGCAGCAGTCTGCCTTTTCTCTCTTTTATTTGAAGAAAATTCAGGAAATTGTGTATGATATAAATGTAAAACAAGTCTTGAAGGCTCAAAATACAGTAGATGAGTAATTAAGTTAATATTTTTTGTACGGTATTATTTTTGATGGTTTTTATGATGTTGGAACAAACACACCAGATGACAAACAAGTGTTTTGATTGTATTTTTACCATCAAGCAGTCAGTGTCTTGAGGTCATATGAGCCCTTTTTCCACTGTAAACAAAATGACAGGTAGAAGAAACGTTGTGAGGAGCTAGAGAATGCAAAGTATACAAGGCTGCCCTTGACTTAGCATTCGGTGTCAGAGTGCCAGCAACACTCATCACTATGAACTAACTTGGAGCTAGAGCGTCCCGTAGCCTAAATGAAGGAGCATATGGGCCCATCCCCTCTCTGTAGCAGGCTCTCATACTCCCCCATGTTTCACTTCCTCACGTGTCCGGGAATGAGGGGGAGGGCTTATGATACACTGGAAAATGGGATGTCAAGTTGGCAGAATAATACTGTTGTGATTTCCCACACACAGGAATTTCAAGGCACTCCTTGCCTCACAGCACACATTTTACCCCCCAATTTTGGCTATACTTTGCTGTAACTGTACAGTCGTTCCATCATTACCTGAATGGAAAAGAAGTCCATTAAAAGTCCATGATCATGCTGTACATCCAGTGACCTGACGTTGCAATGCAGTATATGGCATGGTTAACAGTGGCCCTGTTTGGGACAAAACCTGTTAGTCTTCACCTTTGAAGTCTTTTCCCTTATAAAACTGAAAAATTCTGATTGAAAACACACTTGATAAAGTACAAATCTTACCTTGTGTCACTTGGAGTAAGGAATGGGCTCATTGTTGCCACTTGAGGCCGCTGAGAGAAAAACAGCTGCTACAACTGCAGTTCTTACCAACTGTCACGTACTGGTGGGTGTATGGAGCCTCACAGGGAAGTAATGGGTCTGTTACGGCTTGACACACCACAATGAGCCAAACAAGGTGTGGCAATAGAAAACTTACAAGGACAAGTGACACAAAGGTGAGATTTGTGCTTTATCAGAACGAGACAGACTTCAAGGATGAAGACTAACTGGTTGGTTGGGTAAATGTATGAATTCCTTCATCACCTCCATTAAAGAGTATTTCATAGTTGCTTTCTTGAACCTTTCTACAGAAACCATGGAAGGTAAATAGCAGACATCCATTTGTGTGAGATCATACAATATTCAGAATAATCCATTCAGGCAAACTGGGCCAAACAGAAAAGTGATCGCTAAGCTTGTGGGGGGTAAAAGGCAGAGTGAGATGGGTCATGCTCTCTAGGTCACACTTTCTTGTACAGTATAGTACAGTATAATTTATTATAAAAGCAGCAAGACCAAATACACAGAGAGTCAGTAAGAGCTTGATTTGGTCAGCTAATTATGGATAAATCTCTGTGATGGTTACACCATTGCTCTATTGTTGTATTCCCCTGATCATTGAAGTGTGTCAACCCTATACTGTCCAGTGTTGTGTGAGTATTTTATTTGATATCAGGATCAATTAACAGTGGGAGAGCTAGCCACAGAAAAAAGAACTAGGGATGCACTAATGCAATTTTTTCTTCCTCAATAATGATTCCAACACCTCATCCTGGGTGTCAGCCGATACCAAATACCAATCCAATACCAACACACTCTTTTTTCAAATTTAAAATCTTTATACTTCACAGTGTTGAACTGAGGGAAAAACTGAGTCAGAACTGATGGCTGAATTTTACATTGGCAGTGTCAAAAACTGTATTTAATGCAGACACCTCAACACCTCATCCCTCTAAATGCTGGTGCATTGGTACAACGCTGGATTTCTAGAGACTTCTGCTGCATCTGGTGGGTGGAGTTTACAATGCCTACTGTGTTTGTAGAAGGCCACGCATTATACAATGTGCATGGAGGAGGTTGTTGGACATTGCATCACTGCTCTGTTTCATAGCTGGCTTGAGGGCCCTGTGACACAGCCTGGACCTATTGTCCTGGGGCACGGACCCATGGCATGAGAGGGGACGCCGTACTAAGCTGATATAACACCGATGCATCAGAGAAGCCGGGGTGACTAGGCTAGAAAGACCTCAACTCATACACATGAACACACACTTTCTTGGATCCTTCATACTGTATATCATGAATTTTTGTGGGATTTGCAGCATCACAGTGGTTTGACCTTCTCTGCTGATTCCCAACAGTATGCTAGATATGTATTTGTAATTCTGAAAATATCTTTTAGAACAAGATATCTGGACTTCTTTATAACTGAAGGTTCTTGATGTTACGTAGTTAAGAGCACATAGAGCACACACACACACACACACACATACGTCCATCCCTGACCACAGTGTTGATGAGGCCCACTCTACACCTTTGCAATCACACAAGTAAATCCTTCACACCGTAACACAACACGGCCACGGTTTTCTTTCCCAAAAGATGGACTGGCATGATTAAGTCAGTATTGTTCTGTTGATCCTGGGATCAGAATGTCTGGGAAGCCCAAAGAGCACCTACTAACACACATTGCACTACACACACATCTCTTGTCTTCTTTTGTTCTCATTCACATTTCACACCAGACCACCAGGGAGTCCCTACCTGTGAGACCAATGGAAAGAGAAGAGTGGGTGCCCTGTGCTGATCATTTAATCCCCTTCTTGCCTGGGATCCTTTCTTCCATTTGTAATCCCAGTGCAGAACTGGAACATCAGAGATTAGTGCGTGATTAGGCTGTAACCGTCCAGTGACCTGAGCTTGCCTACAGTACCTCAGCTTTGTCTGGCCTGGCACACTAGTCAGACTCATTAGGTCGACTGCCACTCACAAAGACATTTTTAGTTTGCTTGTTGGGTGAGCAATGATCCCTTACTTTACACCCAGCCAAAGTAAATCTGGAGGAGGCCAATGCGCCAGAATCTGAACCTTACCATACCCTCTAACGTGCATTTTTTACTTTAAATCCTTGATATCAGTATTTCTGCTAATATTACTCAATGTCAACACCAAATATGTCTGTCTCTGGAAAATACAGGGAAAACAAATAATACAAAGTGGGTTTAGAGTTTTACACCAATGAAAAATGTCCCAATATTGTAGTTAACATGCTATCTTACAGAGACTTCTGGTGTTCTCCATTTAAAAAAAACTTTCATAACAGATGCCCACAAAAATTGCTATCAAGGGTCTCTTTATATCAGTTGGTAGGAATTCAGTTTTTCTGCCACTGGAATGTGTGTTATGTTGCAAAAGGATGTTGTTCTCTGATATATAGATGATGCACTGTGAAGATATGAACATTGTATAAACAGTGCTCTGGTTTGTTTGTGCTTAGTGCTGCACACTTAACATACATTCTTAAAGGGGGTAAAAGCAGTATATACACATACCTACATTTTATCTTTCTTTGGCCGTGTTCATACCATCAATAACGTCACGTCCAAAAATGCTGTCCTCTCACTTATTTAATTGAGGCTGGCCAGAAAAAAACGTTGAACCTGGCTCAACTACTGCCACAGCATAATGCAACATCATTGGTCAGTCAAATAAGTGCACATTTTTATGACCAACTACACTACTGCAACACAAAAATCCTCTCCAGGCCAAAGCACCATCCTCACAAACCACTACTGTAAAAGAAACATCTTTCAGATGGTTGACTGATGCCTCAAACTGTAAACAAGATCAGTTACTTTATGTATTGTGAATTGTTCCATGAAGATTTAATATTTCTGAAACTCTCCCAGAGATTTTTGGATTTGTATGTGTATGATTCCGTGTCAAATGTAAAGTCGTATGCACATGTTTAATGGACTGTACAACCGGTAATATGAGGAAATGTTCTCACTGGAATTATCTCGGAGTACGACAATACTTCAGACCCATGGATTTATTATTCCAACTTGACTTCCTGGACTGTTTGCCATTTTCTCACTCCCTGTAGCAACAGGGTCACACTAGTGCAGAACCTTAAGATGTTTTTTAATGCAGCCCTATCATTTTTGTGAACACAGCCTCATGTCACTTCCATTACCGTGTTAGAGTTTTGGCATTGTACAGTTTCAACCCTCTTGTGACCATCTCTGTCTCAGTTGTCTGATGACGTTCGCTTCCAAATCGTAAACATGGGAATCATTCCCATCTCTACCATCCATCTCATATGATGTAAACATGGCATTAGTCTCTGAGTTAGTGCAGGACGTTTTGTGGTGTCAAATGCTATCTTCTCAAAGGTCCTCTCAACCATGTTTTTTGTCTCAGGCTATTCCTACAAGATTTTATTTATAATTTACAGTATATTGATGTTTAAATATATAACACATCTAAATTGGCTTGCTGTCATATCCATTCATGTATATAAAGCAACTGTGACATAAAAATACTTATTCCTGCATCCACATGTCCACGTAGCAGTTTGTTTACCTTCTAAAGCTTGTTGTCCTTGTCACCTTTTTTTTTGTATGTGCCTATTTTTGTGCATGTATACTTAGAGTATTGAGAGCGATGTGAAACCGGAGTCAAATTCCTTGTAGCCCTTGTGTACACATACTTGACCAATCAAAGTGATTCTGATTCTGACATCCGCTGCAAGTACTTATGCCATCCAAACACACCCTTTAATTGTGTTCCCCTTATTACTGATATATGAAAACAGGAGTCTAAATTGTAGCATTAAAAACAAATGGCTTATGTGCACATTTAGATTTCCTTCTTGCCTTCATTTTAAATCTTCTCCTGCAGTTTCCTTCCAAATGACATTTTGTGTTGCAAGCACAAGATGAAAATTAAAATGCAACCGACAGGATGTCTCTAGAATAATAACAACGATGAAACTACATTTGAAGCAAGTACATTTTACAAAATGCCGTCAGTGTTGTGTTTTTGTGTCTAGTATTTTTCCTGTTCTACCCTCCCCCCTGTTTTCTCTCCTTCCTCTTTGTTTGCTTGATCTGCTTGATCCTCTCCTAGGTGCCTTGTCTCCTCCCAGCGACAGCTGCGGCCCTGTGATTGGCTGGCTGTGGGGAGAGGCGGGACCTATTGGCCGCTTCTGCTGTTTTTCTCGCTGGAGGATCAGCTTCGTCGTCAGTTTCGGTAACAGCCACACGACAAGGACAACGTTAATGTACGTTGCTTTACGTTTTTTAAGCAGCTCTAAAGCGGCATAAGTCGCTTTATATAACACATAGAAATACGGAGATTATCAAGCCTAACGGAGGAGTTTTATCATTTGTCCTCCGACAAGGAAAAGAAAGGAAATAAGGGATCTTGTCGCTGCCTCTGCCCTTCCTGCCAGGCTCTTTTGTTTTTCACTGCTGCGCTCGAGTAGGCGACCAGTAGCGCCCCCTCGCGAGCCACCAGAAAAGAGCTCGAGGATAGGGAGCCAAACGAGCGGCCGAGCCTCTTGCCACCCGACCGACGTGGGTCCCCCCAGCTCATTTGTCCGATGCGGAGTGAGGATGAGTCCCGCTCTGGAAGCCCTCATGCAGGCGGACGGGACTCCTTATCCCGGAAAAGGGGTAATGCTTGAACCCTTCGTGCACCAGGTGGGAGGCCACTCCTGTGTGCTACGATTTGGGGAACAAACTATCTGCAAGCCCCTCATCCCCCGGGAGCACCAGTTCTACAAGAGCCTCCCTCCAGAGATGAGGAAGTTCACCCCTCAGTATAAAGGTAAGACCCCCTCATCCCAAATCTGGAGGAAGTGGTGGGCTGTCTGTCAAAACTGCGCATGTGTGATGATGTTTTGGTACCTAGCTTTTTAACCCTCTTTCCGTTTCCTTATGTCTGTGCTCACGGCTTGTGATATAATGCATTATTTTTTTGTTGATTTTCATGTTGCTAAAAATGCATTCGTTCATATCATAAGGATATTATTTTGCTTTGGGTGATGGATTGGTGCAAGGACATGGTGTGCACAACAACATACTACCAAATGTTTACTCATATCTATAGATAGATACATTTCAGTGGCCTCCTAATGTGCCTTCTGTACAGTGTGTCACTTGAATTGGCAGGTCCGTTACCCAGTAGCATCCAAGCTGATGGCCTGACTACCTGCCAGGAGGATGAGTAGCCAGAGGACTTTTATGTGCCGTGTCTGTCTTTCAAGACAGCTACGGTTTCAGGGTGAGATAGAGTTCCACCGGGATCAAAAATAAATTGAACAGATCACCAGGGGAGTAATTCACAAGCCGGTGGAGGAAATTTCCGGGTCTAGTTTCAGGTGCATCACAGAAACATGGACACGACTACACGCTTTAAGCTGGTATATCACGTTTCCTGGTTTGCATCCAGGTCTACTATCTCACCCACAGACGTAGATCAACCTAGCACATACTGATACAGACGTCTTTAGGCAGCCATGTGACGGAGGTAAGACGCACGCGTGGTATCTGACTCCGCAGTGATGCAGCGTGGGACTCTAAAATGACCCAGATGAGGAGTGGGATTTGGAGATAAGATAGTAGAGGTCTTCTGGGGCCTCAACTGTGACGCTCTTCTGTCTCTTACATTATGCACAATAGGAAGATGAAGAGTTGTTTTGTTCATGTGTTCATTTGCTTTTCAAAGTTCAAACTCATACACTGAATGTATGATTTATCAGGAAGGCTATCACAAAAGTGTAGATGTAGGTTAAGGAATATTAATCCAAGATAAGAACATGAAAGCCGCACTGGTCAACCAGAACTTCTGAACCTAATAAAACAATAGTCATTGATAATGATCCGCAACTTCATCAAACCCCAGACTAATATATTACGGTCAATTGATGTTTATTGGGTTGTAAATGATGCTATGGCTATGAATTGATGCACTGTTTCGCTAATTTATGAGTCCTTCTCGTGAATTAAGTCCGAGTGATTCACAAGTTCCCACACTCACTAAGGTGGTGTGATGACAGCGCAGTCCAAAGGACAGGCTTTAGCGGCAGGGCCTTCCTGCACGACGGTGATGTCAATGCACATGACATCAGCTAGGCCTCCGGCTGCGGAAGAAATGAGGATGCTGGGTCCTCAGGCCCGTCATTTAACATTCAAAAACACTACAATGCATTTGGCTCAAGCAGTGGCTCTGTTTGGTCAGGTTGTTCTCAAGAGTGAATTGCTGTTTTATTCAATGTTGTTCAGGGGATTTTTTGGAATATACCACCACTTGTGTTGTTGGTTGCAAAATGTCTCGCCTGCCGACTCGGATGCTGTGTCCATATCTCTGTGACTTTCTCTCTCGATCAGTTTCGACCACATCTGTCCTTCCTGTCTGTGGTTTATCTGTATCAGCCGCTGCAGCTGTAATGTTTATTCTCAGTCCCGACACCTCCCCCACTCTGCACAGAACATGCGACACACAGGCCCATCTAGGGACTCTTAGTAGGGGCTGGAGGGGGGTCTACTGAGGTGCCTGTTTGTGAGTCATGTCATGTCATAAATTAGCATTGGCATTAAAGTACACTGTGTTTCTTTTTTTTAATACTTCTAAACAAACTGCATACATTTCTTTTTTAAATATTGGTTTTGTTACTGTTATACTGTTTTTAAGGCCACTGAATTTTGATGAGCTGTTTTTTGATGTATGTTTTTGTATGTGAAAAGGGAACTGTACTTTCATCTTTTCATGTCATTGCAGACTGCTTGAAACTCTGTATTATGAGTTATTGTGTGTGTGTTTCATGAGGATGTTTAGTAGTTCCTTAATAAATGTCCTGCTCAGTTTGACAAAGTTTGGCCTTGTGTGGTATTTTGTGTCTCTTGTTTGCTCACTAATGAGTCTCTTAAACTCTGACATATGATGCTCTTATAAAATGCTCTGCTTGATGATGCATCTTTCATCTTCCATCTTTGTCTCACATTAAAGCAACATGTTGATGTGTGTGTTTGTGCAAATTAGTCAATATGTTTGTGAAAATCTGTTACAGTTTTATAAGGCATATTCGAGGTTATTGGATAAAAGATTACCTAGTATCATTATTCAGTTCGGTGCTTATAACTACTCTCTGGTGCTCCTTCTCACCCTCTCTCAGGTGTTGTATCAGTCAGTTTTGAGGAGGATGAGGAAGGGAACCTGTGCCTCATCGCCTACCCCCTCCACAGCGAATCAGGGGACCTGGAAAACAAAGATCCCTCAGCAGACTGCGAGCCCAAGAGCAAGATGCTGAAGTGGAGCAACAAGAAGCAGTCCCCTTTGCTCTTGGAAAATGACAACTACAGCAAAGAGAGAGCACGACACAGCCGAAAAGAAGACAAGATCATGAGGTGAGGGTGCTTGCCATGGCTGCTAGATGCTTTCATAACCAACAAGACACTCAATTAATAAGTTCTGTAACACCAAAGCTGACATTTTTCTGTGTTTTTTTTGCCTTCGCAGTTATAATCGTGATGAGATTCAGCAGCAGCAGCAGCAGCAGCAGGCAGAGGTTCTGTATTTCAGCCTGGAGAAGGGCAACGTGGTGCCACAGATCAAACACAACCCCTGGAGTCTCAAATGTCACCAGCAACACCTACAGAGGATGAAGGAGAATGCGAAACACCGTAACCAATACAGTATCCTTTCATGAATGAACTGCACGTCCTGGGTGTCTGAGTGAAGTAGAGGGAAGGGCCTTAATTGTTAATATAAGCATGTGTACACTGTGTTAGTCTATAGTTTCTTTTGTTGCTGTGTGATCCTTGACCCCCTTTCACAGAATTTATTCTTTTGGAGAATCTGACATGGCGCTACACAGTACCATGTGTCTTAGACTTGAAGATGGGAACTCGCCAACATGGGGATGATGCATCAGAAGAGAAGAAAGCCAATCAGATTCGCAAGTGTCAACAGAGCACATCTGCCTCTATCGGAGTGCGACTTTGTGGCATGCAGGTACGGTAGAGAGGCAACACAACTCCTCTGTATTGATATCTTCTGTGTTGGTCTCATGTGGAACTGTAGTGCTCATGTTTCTGTGTGACCTGCAGGTTTACCAGTCGGACTCAGGCCAGCTGATGTTCATGAATAAGTACCACGGGCGTAAACTGACACTAGCAGGCTTCAAAGAGGCCCTCTACCAGTTCTTCCATGATGGGCATCGCCTGCGTCGAGAGCTTCTCTCCCCGGTGCTGCGCAGACTCCGAGAAATGCAAGCTGCATTGGAGGCCTGCGAGTCTTACCGCTTCTACTCCAGCTCCCTGCTCATCATCTACGACGGAGACCCTCCTAGGACTCCAAGTAGGCCAAGACACCGTGGTGGGGAAGAAGGTGATGAGGATGAGCCATCCGATGAAGAAGAAGAAGAGGAGGAGGAAGACGACGAGGAGGAGGAAGAAGAGGAAGGGGCCTTTGGTTTTCCTCGTTCTTCCTCAGCAGGTGGCAGCGCTAGTGTGGCGGGAGGGAGCAGCAACAGTGGCAGCAGTCGCTCCTCCCACGGCACAGGAGAGGCCAGCAGCCCCGCGGTGGATGTCCGCATGATTGACTTTGCTCACACAACATGTCGGCACTATGGAGAGGACAGTGTGGTGCACGAAGGCCAGGACAGTGGTTTCATCTTCGGCCTCCAGAACCTCATCACCATCATCTCCCAGCTGGAGGATCACAGTACTGACTGAGGCTGCACTGGAACCAACGTGGTCTAAATTTTAAGCACGGGAGAGAGCTCACTGAGCTAAAACCCTGCTACTCTAAGGTGCATCTTCCTCATCTCTACACGGGGGTCTGACCCTCCTCTGCTTGGAGGGAACCTAAGACACCTCGGGGTCAGGGGAGAGTCTGTGTGGTCGTTACTGCGCTCTCCCTTAGCTGCCAGAGGACAGGGCTGCCTGTGCCCTTACTTGCACTTTTCTCTTTCTGAGACTGCTCCTTTTCTTTGTTATACGTGGTAGGAGACATTTTGTTTGAGACGGCAGTCTCTCAACAAACACAGGGACTCCTGTAGCGTCCTAGGACCCTCCTCCCCCTCTCCTCCTCTGGTACAGATGAGTTTCTTTAATTGTTAAGTTCTCTCTGAGAGAGAAAGAGTGAGGCAGAGATTGATTGAAGCTCAAGTGTAGTTGTAGGAGCCTGATGTGGTGCTTTACCTGTGATATGACATACGTTTTTTGTTTTTTGGATGAAGTTTGGACTGCCGATCCCCAACAGCACAGCACATTATTTGTGGGGAAGTTGACTGTACAAGCTGACCTTGGCTGGCTGGGTCAACAGCCTTGTAGCAATTGACAACTTAAGCTTCTGAAAAGGACATTTTGTCTTTATATTGGTGTCTCTTTAGACCTCTTGTAACAAACATGGTTTGTGTCCACAGGGCACTCGGATTTATACTTTTCGGTGGAAGAACAAGATAATTTAGGTCTAGAAGAAGGGATTTGCCTTTTTTTTCCAACAGTTTTTCTCCCCTGTACCTTTTTGCCTATAAAAAGACTGTTGCTAAGGGGATAATATCCTTGTATTGTCACCGTCTTTGTTTTTTGTCTGATTTTCTCCTCTTCATTCCTGAAATTTTGACTAAACAAAGAATATATTGATTAAGAACACTAGCTACAAAGACTATATAGAGACTATTTATTTGAAAGGATTGTTTAAAAAGTAAAAAAAAAAAAAAAAAAAAGGAAAAAGCTACATTCCATATTACCACTTTCAATGTTCTGTTCTGATACCAACTTTGATTTATTTTATTATTGCAAGAGTCGATACCTCTCTTGTATACCTGTGTGTTAAGTGTCTTGGAAAATAAAGGCATTCATTTGTGGTAAACGTTACTGCCCATCTTGTGTTCATTTACACTGTACATTGTTTGTGACTAATATGCATTCACTGGACGGGAGCTGGTGAAGTGGAGAAAATAAAACACAAGCAGGATGCTGACTCGAGATCTGTAAGTGTTGCTGTGACAAAAGGAGATGGTGCTTGAGTCATGAGTCCTTTGTGTTGAATACCATAGAAAATAGAGTGATCCACCTCTCCCTTTCAGTACACACTATAAGGAAATGCAGGGCCTTTTCAGTCAGCAAAGAGGGTGACTCAACAGGTCCAGTGTGTAGCAGCATTTAGGAACGTCTATTGGCAGAAATGGACTATCTATCATATATATGTTTTCATTAGTGTATAATGAATATGAATATTAAAATTATGTTTTTGAGTCATTTTTATCTACAGTGGACCACTTCCCAGAACGGCTTAACCAAACACTGACTCTAGAAAGGTCCTTCTGTGTTTCACAGCCACCGTATTTTCTCCCTCAGGCTTGGAACAGGAGGGTGAGATGAGGGGGTTGTAATCTGCAACTACATCGCCAGATGCCACTGAATCCTACACACTGGTGCTTTAATGTCTACTAAGAAAGCATTTAACTCGACTAGACCAATGGAAACTGGTATCAACTCATATTCAGGCCACCAGTGAATCATCTTCAGATCAGTCTATTGTAATTGTTCACCTGGCAGAGGGAAGCTCAATATACACACAACAGGGAGGGAAATGGTTTGTGTGCTTGCTTTTGGATCAGAAAAATAAGCTTTTCTATGCAGTAGCTGGATTCTGAAGGTTGAGGTTGAATTGCTGATCAGTTTAGTTCCTAAGAGTTTTACACTGAAACGAAGAGACAGACAAAACCACTGTGGTCTTGGCTGAGAAGTGTGGTGTGAAGATGTGTGATGCTGATGGATGCAATCTAAAGTCTTCTGCCAGTGACATCCGATACAGCTGTGGTTAATATCTTTCAGATGACTGAAATATGGAACCCATTGGTTCGGAGATGATGCTACTATTAAGAGTTATTTGCTGTAAGATCATTGAACGCTGTGAAGTAAGTTTCTATGCAGTAACAAGGAGTTACGATATTATTATTAGCAAAAACATCAGGACCTGTTTACTTGTTCTGTGTGTACATTACATAATTTATACAAAACTGATCCAAAGGAAAGTCTCTGCCAAGGGAACAGGCTTTCCTCATGTGTATGCTTGAGACAGCATGAACACGATTGCACACCTCACTTTGCATGCGTCATCATAGTTACAGAGTTCATTATTAAGTAGTTTAGTTGAAATTTTTGGCTTGGTTGCAATTCAGAGGCGACATCGGTGACTGATCTGCAGTAGGCCGGCATAGGACTGGTCTATAGATTATACACTTCAAACAAGAGAAGAAAAAACTTCCATTAGAACTGTAATGCTAAGCAGGAAGCATTACAAGGTGTTAGCCCGCAGCCACATGCACCAGCAGCTCCGAAGCAGCAGCCTCAGCTGACCGCTACTTGTTCAACATACTTTGTGCCCCCTGAATGTCATAGTGAAAGTGCAAAACTTCCAGCTTTGTGTTGGGACTAATCAGCTTTCCAGCCACGGAAAACACTCTGAGCTAAGGAGGGCAAGTCCACGGAAACCCTTGCTGTGTGGAAAGTATGCCTAGAATGCTGCTTCACTTTTCAGCAACTTGGCACACCTGTTTTACACAAAGGGTGTGGTTTTTGGAGACAGTAGAGTGCATTTCTAAAGGCTAGGTGATGTTGTAGCAACCCGGGGCAACTGCATGACGTGTGAAGTTGAACGTAGGTGCAGTGGGTAAAGAAACACTCAGATGTGGCTTATGCTGTAAAAGAATACACAAGAATGACCTTTTCATAGTGGGATGAATTCATATTTACTTTAAAAAATGAAATGTGATACTAGGTTTTCTAATCTTTCTGGTGTTTGTGAGCAGTGAGACTTACAGTGTTTGTCTACATTAGCACACTGGTCTGACTAATGACGCCCAGTACACATACTGCGGGCCCTCAGGAGCAGCGCTCGTCTGCCACATCATCATCATCATAACCACAGCTCACTTACAACTGGCTGGAACTCAGACAGATGACCCACATACCCACGTTTATATGCAATATTCAGTTACAAGATTATTCATGCATATGTCCTCCAAAAATATATTAACGCAAATGCATTACCAAACACCAAGACATGGGTGGATTTTATCCCGTTTTTTTAGCTTAAATGGATGAAATAGTATAAAATCTAGTTGTGACTACACAGATTACTCAAGAACAAGGCATTCTTTAGATTTTTTAAGCTTTATCTCTTATCTGTTGTTTTACCCAGGGTGTAAGGGGATTTGGTGCAGTTCGATGCAGTAAACATCATGAAAGAAAGCGAAGGGAGAGAGTGTCAGTTTAGGAGAGTTGTTCCGGCACGAGATGAGAAGGATTATCATTTCCTCTTTTCAGATCTAAAAATAGCCAAACATACCCTGCTCATCTGCTGCCTGCTGCAAAACAGATTTAGATGGATATGTTTTGCTCCACTATGGCATCAAATCAAGTTTGTTGAAATGGTTTTAATGATGACGCCCAAAAATATATTTGATTTATGAAAGAAGACAGTGTTCTGTCCCCTGTGTACTTTCATCACTTGATTAGCTTTTGTTTTGTCTTTTTGCATTTTTTAATGAGTGGGCTTATTTCTCTGTGTTGTGTCTGTGCTGTATGTATGTAGGTGTGCTGGTGTGGGACACGGACAGTTACCTTGGTGACTGAACTGACTTTTGGGAAGTGATACATTACTATAGCAACAGCACCAGTATTTTTAGCAATTGTTCACCATAAGATGCAAATTGCTCATACAAAAATATTCATATAACTTCAATAAATGACACCTAGCATAACTCATGTTAAACAAATGTAATGCTGTGGAGCAAAATTAATATTGACCCAAAAAGTGCATCCTTTTGCTTTCACTGGATGCTTGATTTCTTGCAAGAAAACACCATTAAGCAAGGCATTGCACTTGCAGGATTACTGTAAGTGTGATCAGACTGAATGTTATTGGACCAACATTGTGGTTTTGCAATGCACTAACAAAACTAATCAAGCCTGATTGACCCCAATAGCACAGGAAAGTGTGAGCTATGATGTAAGAGCCGGTGTGATAATCACTCTGATGATAATGCATGAATGCACCGTTCTTATGTGGAGGAACACACGCAGGTGTTTGTGTTTGCTAAGACGAAACCTGCACAGCATACATGATGGTGTCTGAGCAAATGGTGTAATATTCGTCACAGTTTAAATGTTAATGAAATTCTTATCTGTTGGTCATTTGCAGACATGAGCCCTTGCTGCAAAAGAGAAGCCATTTCTCTGTGAAACCAACCAGTGAAATAGGATGTGAAAAAACATATTTAAGTCTGCAGTACAGCACATGCTCTCTCATTCTGCCTGCAGCAGCAGTAGAGAAGTGTATATGATCTTAAAATAACTCAGACAAGAGCGAAGAGGCAGAAGGAGGTATGAGTTTTTGCATTATGAAAAATGTTTTGACCAGCAGTGTTTTCAAGACCTCAAAGTGAAATATGGTCTGGAAAATATATTTCTTGAGATACATACAGTTCTATTTTATGAAATAGGTAATGACTGATCCCAGTGTTTATATAAATGTTATAATTAAAATCATTGCAAACGCATACCACCAGGACAGACCTTGTGTCCTCGCCACCTGCTACCAAGCCTTGTGGGAAAAGCAGAGGAAGCTCAATGCTATACATGAAAAACAAATGAGGAACAGAGCTAAAATATTGTTGAAATCTAAAGAATGGTACAAAATGTGTATAACACTGTCACTATGTTGAGTTTAGAGTAAGTTTGGCTGGAAGAGTTTAACTGGTTCTACATAATCCCCTCAGAACAAAAGCAGACAGCTAACCGGCCACGTTGGAGGCTATGTGGCGACCTGGAGGCCAACCGTACTAAACAAACTAAAGCCTTTCTGCTCGTCTAAACAGCTGTACATGTCATATGTTAAAAGACTATGATGTCACAGTCTATTATGCAACTCTCCTTGAACTCTGGTCTGCAGATCGATCACATAATAACGCACAGGAGGAATAAAATGGCACTTGATGAGAGAGAGAATTTACATTACAATAAACCTGAACACACTGTGCTGTCCTCACAACTGTTAGTCCATTTTCATATCAGGCCAGTTGTATCAGAGTTTTACCTCTATAGCAGTTGTAACCCTGCTGGCACTGTCTCAATATAGTCTTATCACGTCTTTAACCTTTGTTCCTGAAGGCCTACTGAACATCAACTGAAATGTAATAACCTTGCAAGGGATCAGATAGATAGATAGATAGATAGATAGATAGATAGATAGATAGATAGATAGATAGATAGATAGATAGATAGATAGATAGATAGATAGATAGATAGATAGATAGATAGATAGAGTTTTTCCCAATGAGAATCTTATGAGGGCTGGCATTCTTCTCAGTGGTTTCACCAAATGTTTTGTCTTATTTCTCAGCAACTGCCATCAGGTTGTGTCAGGCAACTTTGTTTGTATCAGCAAATCTGTTGTCATGTAGTCTGTTACACATAGTTATACATCTGGTTGATACATTAAAGGAAAAACATACAGCAGTCCCTCTAAGATTGTTGCTATTTTTTTGGTAGAATTCATTAAAATATATCATATTAATTATAACCTATAACTATAACGGTAACTTGTTGCAGTGATAATAAAATTACACTGGAGTGTTTTGAGTAACCTTAAGGCTCAGGATTATGAGGGTAAATGTGAAAAGTTTGCTTTGTACATGCCTGCGTCATCACAACTAGAGATAAGGATGTCAATTCAATTCATGTCAATGGAATAGCCTTTTTCACAGCAGCCATTTTGATATGAAATAGTAGGGTAAACACAGGCATTACTACTGAATAAGGTTTTGTTCCATTCAGGTCAAACAGATTCAGGGTGCTGCTATTGTGAT